TTGAAGTGAAAGTTAAATTACATTCTCTTCTCCCCACCTCCTACTTAAGCCAGATTCGGTTACATTAAAACGACACACTCTCTCCACATCCCCGTGTCATTGGGCCAATGAGGCCTGATACTTGGCCTTCTCTAGAGGTGAGTCTGGGGAGCCCACCCACTTGTTTTGGACAAAAGAAACTTTTCTTCCAGTCTTATAATGGGAGGTGTAAATGGAGTAGAAGCTAACATTTTTTAGAAATACTTTTTAATCAGCACAGTATGTCTTCAGGATGAAGGTTTGAAGTCAGGATCTCTCTTTCTCCCTTCCCCTCCCCTCAGGTCCTGCACATCTCTTTAGACTTTCTGGCAAGTGCTTCAGTTTAGTGGAATCCATGTGAGTACAGGGAATGTGACGGGGGGAAGTTCAGAACATTTACAGACATGGATGTATTATGACCCAAGGCCCTTACGTCTCCTTCCAGGTACAAGTATGAATTCTGTCCCTTCCACAATGTCACACAGCACGAACAGACTTTCCGTTGGAATGCCTACAGTGGAATTCTGGGGTGAGCTCACTGACTTTTAGTCTTCTTTTTTGAAAGAGCCTCCACCGTTTCTAGAACTCGGTAGATTCTTGTTCAGCATAAATGGTGGGGTGATCCTACAGACTAACTTCCCACAGTAAGAAACCGCCCGTTGCCCCCTTTCCCTTACCCCCCAACCATTTTGTAGAAGGAAAATGAGAAACTTTTTTATCTGTAAAGTGGGAATAACAGTGTCATAGTGCTTACTTCATGAGGCTGCTCAGATGAGATAATATACGTAAAACGTTTTGCACACATTGTATTATGCATGTCCATTGTTACTGAGGGAAACCAGTGGGCGCCAAAAAAGATGTCAGAGTCAATTCAGCTAATTCTCTGGGTAGCTAGATGGCTCAACAGATAGAATACTAGGCCTGGAGTCAGGAAGACCTGAGTTAAAATCTGGTCTCAGATGTTTACTAGCTCAGTGACCTTGAGCAAGTCATTTAACCTCTCTTTTCTTAACCCACTGGAGAAGAAAATGGTAAACCATTCCAGTGTCTTTGCCAGGAAGACCCCGTGAGTTGGACATGCTTGAACATGCTTGAACAAGGCTAATCTCTTCACTTAGAGAAAGACTGTGAGTCTCAGAAGAAAACTGATTTGTCCAAGACTGCAGTGTTCTACCATACTGTCTTTTTGGTATGATCCTAGATACAGGCCTCTTGAGATGTGTTAAAAGGAATTTATTATTATTTTCTTTAGGCAACTGGGGTTAAGTGACTTGCCCAGGGTCACACAGCTAGTGAGTGTTATGTGTCCAAAGCCGGATTTGAACTCAGGTCCTCCTAACTGCAGGGGTGGTGCTCTATCCACAGAGTTACCTAGCTGCCCCTAAAAGGAATTTAAGCATCACCATTTCTGGGTAAATTTTTAGTAGTTATGTTTTGGCTGAGTCATTCATTGTGGTAGCTTATGTTAGACATAACTCATTTTGGTGACTCTTAGTTTTCTTTTTGTTGTTGTTGGGGGTTTTTTTTGGGGGGGGTGCTTGGTGAGGCAGTTGGGGTTAAGTGACTTGCCCAAGGTCACACAGCTAGTAACTGTCAAGTGTCTGAGGTCACATTTGAACTCAGGTCCTCCTGACTCCAGGGTCGATGCTCTATCCACTGTGCCCCCTAGCTGCCCCAGACTCTTCGTTTTTTCATGGATTGGTGTAAGTATTGCTTCTTGAATAGTAATGGGTTATATTTGTTCTTTCCCAGGATTTGGGATGAATGGGAAATTTTCAACAATACATTTACTGGCATGTGGATGAGAGATGGAGATTCCTGTGGGTCTAAGAACAGGCAGACAAAGGTACTTACTTTGGTGCCCAGAACAGTATATGCTAAATGAGGCAGGATTTGATGAGGTCTTTGTCCTTCCCGGGTCCTTTTTTTTTTCTTTCTTTCTTTTGGGACAGTGTCCTAAAAGGGCTCGAATTCCTCTGCTTCTGGGATTCCACAGGGCAGCACCAACCACAGGCATTGCTGAACTCTTCATGTGAAGGAGTGTTTTGAAGGGAGAGACACCCTCCTCCCTCTTTTGGTTTATTTTAGCTCCAGCTAACTAAGGAATGTTGTTTACAAAACCAGTTAAAGAGTTTTGGAAGAAAACTGGGGTATATACAACTGCAAATGATAGATACAGCAGGAGAGATTCACTCTACATTGTGCATCCCTATCTAGCAAAAGACAGTCCTTTGCTAATAAGTTCAAGATATCAAAGAACAGATACAAACACATCCACCTTAAGCTAACTGTAAGGTTTATGGAATAATATACAAATCATATGGATATTTTTATGTGGGGAAAGTAGAAAACTTGAGTGTCTTCACCATTAACTATTGAGTCCCCATCTTTTTCGGCCTTGGGAAAACTAGGCAGTACATCCAGAAAGGAGGCTGTCTGGCTCACAAATTCTAGATAGAGGCTATAGATTTTATACCGAGTTAGACAAATGCACCGGATCTTAGAGGAGGTCAGATAGGGCTAAACACAAACTTCAGTGGAATTCTTTTGAAGCCAGGGGCTGAAATCATGGCTATTCAGTCACATTAGCTGTCATTCCCTGTTATCTTCTTTCCCTCCTCCTCACCTGAAGAAAAGGCCTCATTGAATCTATATACACATTTCAAAAGCCAATAAATAAAGGCCTTGTGGGTAATGTTTTCTATTTTATATCCTCTCTCTAGGTGGACCTTGCCTGTGGAAAAAGTCATAAACTGGCCCAAGTGTCTGAACCAAGTACTTGTGTTTATTCTCTAACCTTTGAGACACCTCTGGTTTGCCACCCACATGCTTTGTTAGGTAACTGGTGTTAGGTGGGATGCAAAAGGAGACTGGGGACTCCTAAGCTTAATGGCTAAGACTAGATCTTTGTCAGAAAGCCATATTCTGAGATGGATTCTTGTAAGCTTTCGTGATCACTGTTTCCCTTTCAATAGCTCTCATCTACTGCAGTAGTTGGGTAATTACTGGATACAACTGTAAGCCTAGTGCTTTTCCCTCCAGTGTATCCAACCTTACCGGAGAATTTACAGCAGAAGTGGGATAAAACAGAGCAGTCTCTTGCTGATGAATTAATTACCCCACAGGTAAGAGGAAGCACTTGAGTGGTGGCACAAGTGGTGTCAGATGTGTTCCATATCAACTCCTGGGTTTATTAAATTTCTTTTGTTATTTATTTGAACTTTGTAACTATCACTAAATTGAGCAGACTCTGGGGATTATTCTTTGCACTTTATGTTTCCTGTTCCTCTAAACACAGGGATATGACAAATTGCTGAAAGAGATATTTGAAGAAGCAGGCTATTTAAAAGCCTCAACTGAAAAGGAGGCTACAAATCCACAGGGAGAGGTCAAGAGTCCTGAGTTTGAAACCCTGGAGAAATGTAATAAGGTACGTAGATACAGAGATGGGTGGGGCAGCCAGGTGGCACAGTGGATAGAGCACAGGGCCTGGAGTCAGAAAGACTCTTCTTCCTGATTCAAATTTAGCCTCAGACACTTAGCTTACCCTGAGCAAGTCACTTAACCCTGTTTGCCTCAGTTTCGTCAGCTGTAAAATGGGGATAACAATCCTGTTAGGATTGTTATCAGGACCAAATGAGATCATATTTGTAAAGTGCTTGGCACAGTGCTTGTCATATATTAAGTGCTTAATAAATGCTTCTTCCTTTTCCGTCCCTCTGCTCTGCCTAACTAGTTAGCCTTTGAGGTGACCACTAATCCCAATCTAGTGATGGCAGAGTGAGGAGCTTAAGTTTGAAAACAGAACCTCTATATTTGAATTCCAGCTTCTCCATTTACTGTCTGTGAGACTTTGGGCAAATCACTTAAACCTTTTGGGGGCTTCATTTTCCTAATCTTTAAAATGAAGATGTTTTGAGAGTATGAACCATAAAATCCTTTCCAGATCTTAATCTATGATCTTTATGTAATTTTCATTTTAGGAATATGAGGAACTTTCCAAGGAGTTAAAAAGACTGAAAGACTTGCTAACTCAGAATCACATTGCATACACAAAGCAGAGAGGTAAGTTTGTGTGTGCTCTTCGAGCATTCCCTGTATAACTCTTGTTGTAGAACAGGTTTGATCCTAATATGCATATTACATACAAATTTAACAAACATGAATCACTTCCAATTCTCTGTGTTCTGCTATCCCTCCATTACTTCTGGGAGGTAGTAGGAAACATATTCTGCAGAGGAAAATGAACTGTGCCTACTATTTGGTATCTTGGCAGAAAGCACCAGGGCTGAACATTTGGATTATAAGACACCTGCAACCAGCTCCCGGTCTGGAGTAGTATCAGGCCCCCGGAGCATCTTCGAGGAGATGCTGGCCTTCAAAATGACCTCTTGTGACTGTTCACAGGCAAAAGGCCTAAAGATTCTACATTGATTCATACAGACATGATACACATCTTTGTATGGGAGGGAAGGAAGTAAGCTTTAAGGTTCCTTTGGTGCTCCCAGGGGACTGAACCCCTAGACCTAGTTCTAGAAAACCATTTCCTCTCTTTCATGGACACCCCATTGTTCCATCCTGAGAAACCACGATGTAAAAGAAGAGGACCTAGGAGACCAAGCAAGCTTCCCTGTGCACTGGTGATGGAGAGAAAAATCAAACAGTGAAACCAGGAAGAGGAGCGACAGGTACATAGGGCAAGGCTGAAGCTCTCTGGTGCTAATGAAAGTCTAAGGCAAAGAATAAGAACACTACAGGGAAAAAATAAATATTCTGTATAATAAAGGCACTATTTGAAGTATGGAATATCCCATAAATAAATAAAGGAACAAATGAATGAATAAAGTGACTTATTAATGGAGGACGAGCTGGTTCCTGGACTAGTTTTCAGTAACTTACCTGTGTAACCACCTCAGCTCAGAAAGGAGGGCTCTCTCTTTCCTGAATCTGGTTGACTTTTCTCAATGAGACATAGGACAAAATAAAGATTCAAAATTTTAATTCCCATACTGATAATAAAAATAATTCCATGAATTCTGTAAACCATTGCATAAATGCTATAGTGTAAAAAAATTTAACAAGTGTTAACAATTTTAAACAATTCATTACAAGTAAATGATTATGCATTATAAATACTACCTTCTGGGTTAAGGAAATTCCATTCACAATAACATTCTCATCTAAACACTCAAACCATATTAGCGGCTTTCATAAATTAATACATATGAAAAGTCCATATTGAATTAAGGTCTTATGCTGACCACAGTTACACAAATATATTGTGACAATATTACTACCAATATTTAACACTAGATAGTTGAAAAAGACAATAGGCAACAAAAATGCTGATGGAATAATTTGAACATATCTATAAACACACGGCTCAAGCTCCTTTTGAAATCAGCACTCCACTTATAAAACAAGAGTTCTTTACTGTGAAACCCACCCTGAGACACTGTCATCTCTCTACTCTCTGGCTACTTCAATCCACAGAGAACACGGGGGACCTGAATAGCATTCTAAAACTCTCAACTGTTCTTTGCCACATGGTCATTTTGTGAGTTGTTCTTCCCTCCATGCACTGGGTGATTCAACTTTATAGAACTGGGAACAATGAGCAGACTGTATTTAATATTGTTGTAACTTACATCTGTTAAAACAGTTTCTCTTTAGCAGGCTTACTCAGGCCAATGAAACCTGTAACATTCCCTTCTGAGCATATTTCTACTAAATGTAACAAATGTACTTTCCAGTATTAAAAATATCACTTTGGAAAAGACTGGAAATTGCTCTTGTGGAGGTCCCATTATTTCTAAGGAACTGAAACACGAATATAGACTTAAAGTGGCACAGAGAAAGCATCTTTCTTTTTTATGTAAATGGTTCATTCAGCACACCCAAGGAACTTGCCAGAATAATAGCATGTAACAGAGGACCAGGCCGCTTACTCTGGGAATTTCACTCATAGGTACATTTCTTTGGTCTCTCCTTTTTCCTCCCAGTCTTTTAAAAACTCAAATTTCAGTCTATGATGAGCACTACAGAAACATATGGACACACACCTGCAACTCTTCTCACACTGAAAAACTATCAGTGATTATCCTACACAGAGAGCCAACACAGGTGTTTACTACCAGAAAATCCAGGCCCTATGCCAAATGTGCTTCTTAATATGGTGGGCCTTTGAGAACAGCCCAGCCCCTATCTTCTCCTCACTGTGTGAAGGAGATACCATGGGAATGTTAGCCCTGGAGATAAGTCATCTCCTGAGAATTAGCCAAATTCAACAAAAAGAACTGACCACATTAGCTTATGAAGATCTAAAGCTTAATTGTTCTAACTCGTTCATAATTTGAAAAGTCAATTACAGATAATAAAACACTGTCCTGTTACTCCAAAAAGGCCAAATAAAAGGCCTAAAATGAGAAACAAGTGCATAAATATTAATAAAAATAAAGAATTTTAAACAGTGATAACAGCACAAAAATATACTTAATGTTTAAGTACTGAACTAAAAGCATTGCAGCCTATGACCACTTTTTAATATAAATTGGAATCATCTCACTACAATTAAAAACAAAAAACCTTCACTAAAAACTTAAGTACATAGTTACCTTTGTTAGCACAATAGGTGCAGAATGTTGTGGTGCCACATTCTTCTATATTGAGATAATAATAAAACCATTGTCTAAAATCAGTTGTATGTTTTAAAACATTTTAAAAAATCAAAACATATACTACCTTACAATACATTCTAATTTGGTCACTGTTAAAAATTCTTACCTAGTCACTCTGCACTTTTTAAAAATGCTATTAATGTTTAATAAAAGTCTTTGGCAAAGCCCACACAAATATAGAAGTCCATTGATATTCACAGCAAAGCTTGGTTATTCAAGTACCACTTCATCTCTCCTGGCCTTCCCCACCTTATCTCCCCAATCCAGTCTCTCTACTTGGTGAATCCAAAAAAATTCTCTAACTATAAGCACCTAGACCTAACTGTCCGGAGGCAGCAACCTGCTCTGCTGAGAATAAAGTTAGTCTGGGTAATTTTTCTCAAAAGTTTAATATGTAGGGGAAATGTCCAAATCCAGACCAGGAACAATGAGAGTTTCATCAGAAAACAGTCTAACATTTTGTCCAGATCTTAATGTATAAAGGCTTCTGGTTTTGTTCCTCAATCTGCACCCTCCTCAACTTATTGCCACAGGAGTTTGTATCTTCTCCCTGGCTTATAACTGACCTTGCTGTAGCTTTTTGTGCTGAAAAGACTTACTGGTGAGGGAGAAAAAGTCCGGGCACAAGCCTGCCTCCTCTGTCACTGAACCCCTTCCTTCCATCCACCACATAAACGTCCAGGGCGTCCTGACCAAAAAGGTGCTGGGTCTAGACTCTGGTCAACCATGTTCTTAGGCCTACACTCTAGGCCAACCTGCTGTCCAGGGTCCCAGCTCTTGGAAATGTTCTGATTCACACAGCCAGACGCCAAAGTCAAAAGGGTGTGGTTAGTCTGGATTTGTTCATTTTCAAGACATTTTTTTTGCAGAGATTAAAATAAACTTTGCTGGTCATATGAATGAACTTCTTAGGTTGAGAACAATAATTGAACATACAAATTAGGTAACACAGTAGAAGGTCTTTTCAATGTCAGCTGTACCTGTGTCACACTCATATTTGTAGAATAAAACCACCATTGTTAACATTTTCCTATACCAAATGCTAATTCTATGAAAGTAACAAAATACAGTGTTAACATACAGTAAATGATTTCTCCTGAATTGCATACTCCCAATGGTCAGTGTTAAATATGAATGACTATCAACATCTCTAAAAAAATTACAAAGCACCATTGCCTGATTAAAGACCTAAATAATTTGATCACCAGAACATAGCTGTGTAGTTTAATTTAATTTTAAAAATTCTAGTGTCACATCCCTTACAAGATATTATATTGAGTTGCTATCATTACAGAAAGGTAAGGGTTTTTGTTAGTATCAAATTGTCTTGCACATTTTTAAGGGATAAAAGAACAAAACAAAAATATAAGCTGTTTCCTTCAATTCTTTTGCAAGGCATATAGGCACTTGGAAAAAGTGGCCATGGATCATATAAATGCATGATAGATCTCTCTTAAAATCATTTCATCAGGATTACAAAACTCCAATTGGAATATGTGCAAATGCACATGTTTAGGAAAATTAGTTCCTTTCATAAAATTAAAAACCTATCTAAATGCTTAAGTATATGTGCCTTTCAATAATCACTCTCTTTGCTTATAAATACTATCTGTTTGCACTTAATTTGAAAACTGTAAAAATCCTAGGCAAGTTTTTCACTACTAGATAAATGTTCATTTAATAAGTACTAATTTCAGAATATGAAATCTAACAATATATTTACCATACTATGATTTAACAATAATAAACTGATATGAAATATTTTAAGTTCACAGTACACATATAAAGCTTCATATTATCGTATATTAAAAAAACATGAAACCTAGAAAGCAGCTTAAAGCAATTTAAAACAACATCATAACCTCTAACTAAACCCCCTGGTTAACAAAGTGCTTTCACAAGAATCAAACTTCTTCTAATAACCTAGTAAACAGTAGTGTTAGACTGATTCCAAAATACTGGCATGATTTATAACACACACACCAACAGGTCATGGATTAGAATGCTCCAAGGGACATTTTTCAATGAGGTTGCCTATTCACGTAACAGAGAGATATTCTTATTTCCCACTGAACAACATTCGGAATAGACACCTTGTCTATGCTTAGCTCAGAGGGAGAACCTGAATGGACTGAGCAGTTGAACTGGTTCTGTGTGTGTATTTTTAAGGGTTCTGAAGATCAAAGTAGCCATGAAACATTGGACATGGTTGGTAAAAAAGAAGTCAATATGTAAAGGCAGTCACATAATAGTCATTAAAAAAAAACTACCATTTTCTATCTCCTTAGAGGTCCAGATTGTGATCATCAGTCTGTCACTAATAAATGAACTACTACATCTGTCTTTATATAAAATACTAGAAACATAAAATAATGTCCTTAATTAGTTACCATGATATAGCAGATGTCATTTCATACAGAGCTACAGCCATGAGTACCAGGGCTGGGGGTCACCACTTGATCGGCTGGGCCTTGCAGTAAGGACATTCAGGCTGGCTAGATACACAGTGCTCACAGAGGACATAATGCTGACACGGCTGCAGGACAATGCTACGATCATGTTCATGGCACACGACACATTTTTTTGAATGAAGTTGGAAGATTACCTGTAGTAACAAGAATGATTTTCCAGAAGAGATTTTAGAATATAGTATGTCTCTCATCAATCATACTAATAATTTCAGAATCCAATGCACAGGCAGCCTCTCAGAGTATTTATTCACTACATTTGATAAGCATTACCTGAAGGTCAACTATGTTATAGATCCCCATGCTGGGGACTGGGTAAAATACAAATAAGCTTAAATCACAGTTCCTGTTTTCAGGGTACTTAAAATAAGGTTGTGCTAAAAGGACAAGGCATGTGAAACATTTAAGTAATGATTCAAGACAGTATAGGATTAGTGGTAAACAAAGTACATGATGAAGTAGTTCATAAGGAGAGGTCATCCGTGAATTGTAACAGTCAGGAAAGACTTCCTGAAGGAGGTGCTGCACAACTGGTAAAGTTTGGCCAGGCAGAAGTCCAGCCAGGGCATGGACATAATGATGAATAAATATGGTGCGGTTAGGGAAGGAAGGGAAATTGAGAAATCCATATGGTCAGAGAACAGAAATCATAATGGGGAAAAAAACTACTCTGCTGAATTGGCTGAAAACAATATGAGGACAATCTTTTCTACTGATAAGCAGCATGTTAAAAATAGACCACATAGCACTCTTTGGTTCCATACCAGGGACAGAAGTGATCAAAGCACTCCTTTCCAGAGCTCCAGCTTCATGCCTGACAATCAGCTAGGCCTTGGGGGAAGTCCTTGACTCTAAGTCTCCTATAATTTCTAGTCTCACTAAACACTCTGAATCTCCCCTTCAAATCCCAAAGATTCTTGACTGTTCCCTCTTGCCAGTCACCCGAGATGCCTTCAGGCTGATCCTCCTCCCCCACTTTTGTGCCTGTTGCCTGCTGCCTCACCTTTGGCACAAACTCTGCAGGATACACTCCTGGGAGAGTCCAGTCTTGCCAAAGCCAGTCCTGTGAATTCACTGCCAGCATACTGCTACCTCTAAAGCCTCCACAGACACTGACCCCCCTGCTCTGCTGAAACAAAAGGGAAGAGGGCAGATACTTACTCCATCCACAGTTTCTAAATCTAAACGTAGCTGACTCTGTAATGAATGCAGCTTTGGTAAAGGGATGGTTTCTATGTCTCCATAGCTTCTTAGAACAGGAAATTTAGAGGATAAACCAAGCCTTTCAAACTCTTCCTGTAGCCGTTTAAATTTATTTTCAACTTCTTCCTTCTTCTGTAAAGCTAGCTGTTTGTCAGTATCTGCTACTTTAGCACGTTCCTTTGCTTCATGGGCCTCTCTCTGCCATGCATCACAAGCCTGAAATAAACATACAGAAAATTTATCCAGAATGTCTGAACACAGACTGAAAAGAAAGAAAAATACTGCATCTTTAATGGATATTTATAACAGACAGAAAACACATGAGTATACAACTTATGTGACCCTCACAGAAGAATAAAAGACTAGTTATCATGTCAGCCAAGAACAAACCCCTATTACTTTTCAATATTAAGGTAACTCTCAAAATTCCAAACTTTGTTTCTCCTTTGTTCATTACCTGTTTTACTTGTTGCCAAGAATCTTCCCACTGTTTGATTTTTCTCTTGGCCTCATCAAGTTCCCGCCTGACTCGAGCTAATTCGCTGCCATGAGCACTTGAGTTTGCTGAAGGGCCAGTTCCAGTGCTCAATATAGGGGAAGGACTAGGAGAGAAACTCCCAGTTACGAAATCCCAGATGCCACCATTGACACCATTTAAACCTGTCAGTATTTAAGAAGGAAATGGAAGTAAACATACTTTTGTAAGTAAATACAAATTTGTGTAGAAAGTTAATTTAGATCTCAGTCAACAATATAAAGATTTAATATGAAGATTAAATTATGTGTTTACAGAGAAAGAATTTGATAAAATATCTTTTTTTTTTGGTTTTATTTTGTTTTTGGTTGGGCAATGGGGGTTAAGTGACTTGCCCAAGGTCACACAATTAGTAAGTGATATGTGTCTGAGGCCGAATTTGAACTCAGGTCCTCCTGAATCCAGGGCTGGTACTTTATCCACTGAACCACCTAGCTGCCCCCCTAAAATATCTTAAAGTACAATTTCTGCTGCACCTTGTCTAACTGCTGAGAGAATTTGTAACCCCACTGTCTGATATTCAAAGCAGAAACCCAGAGCTAATTAATCTTTAAAATATGAAACCACTAATTTGTATATCAAGTAGATACCTAGAGCCACTTCCCAGTTGCTCACCAACTTGATGATAAGAATTGAGGGGCTTTTGAATGTGTTCACCTTTATATCTCAAATCAAAGGGAATTTAAACTAGAAAACATGAAAATGATATGTCTTTCTCCACTGTGCAAACAGACAAGTAAATATATTCTGAACAGGTACAGAAAGACAAAACAGTGTGTGTGTAGGGAAATAATATGTCATGCTGGAGAAATGTCAGAGCCAAGTCTGGAAAATGCTGCACCATCAAAGGTAGGTTGATAGGAATTTCATATTGTACACATATGCTGAAAACCCATTTAAGCTTAACTGTCCTTTAAAGCCAAGTTTCCACAGGCATTGTTAACTGGGTAGTATCTGCTGTATCATACAAAACACAAGAACACTTGTGACCATACATACAAAAACTATATCTTTTAGCTTAACATCAATTTGTCACAAGAGTCTAGGTTAATAAGACACCTGGAAATAATTCTGTCATGAGCCCACAGGAAATTCATTTATGAGCAGCTCTTAGAAAGATAACGTGATGAGAAAAGAGCCAGTGCTGACTATGTACTTTGACCAAACACCCCACACCCAGGGAAGTTCGGTGATACTGACCTGAATTTTATAGCCCTGAAAAACCTTCCTAGTATGAGAGAAAATGTATAACCCATTATAGAAGAACTTTTCTCTAACCCACACCGAATTATGTCTTTTGAGCATCCACTGATCACCTCCCTTTTCACTATACACAAGAAGTTAATCTTTGAATGACTTACCTTAAGAATTATGGGAAGAGGCTGACGTGCCTAAAACATTATGTTCTGATTTCAAATGCTGAGGCTGCTGTTGGTGAGGAGTCATAGTGGATGGAATAAGAGGCTGAGACAATGACTGAGATAAGGAACTAAGTGGGGAGGTTGAGAGAGATGATGATGAATGCAAAGATGGTGAACGAGGAAGAGAACCTGGAATATTGACAGGAGCTGAACTTCCCAGTAACCTTTGACCTAGAGGAAAGGAAAAGGAAAAAAGTTAAATCACACTAGGCATGTAACATAGAATCATTAGAGCACTAACACATGACTCTTCTGTGGAAGATGAACAAGTTTTTGGTGGTTATGATTAAAAATGTACATACTACTGCACTCACTAATGGTGTCTAACTTTTGAAGGTTAGGTAGGGTATATACTGCGTCAAGTAACCCAGGATAAATATGGATTCCATGTCAAGTAGTGACAACCCTTAATTCCCAGACTTCAGGCTCTCCCAAATAGATCTGGGGAGGTAGCCTCCAAGATCAAGAGTCCTCTTCTAGATTCCTTTTCCTTACCACTGAATGTATCAAGTCCTAACATCTCCAACTTTGGTATGTGGCAGCCATAAGGAAGTAGTGCTTGGGATGGACTAGGAACAATAATTATACAGCACTTCATATTTTGCAGAGCACTATGTACATTATCTCATTTAATAATGTATGAAGCACATCTGTCAATACAAAACTTCATAAACATTTAGGAAATATGCATGGAGCCAGTGCACCAAAAACAACTGAAAAGAAACTAATCAATCTCTGAAATTAATGCTAACTGCTTCCTTAGATTCTATTTGCAGCACAACTCTCTTAGTAGCTAAAGCACCCAAGCCACTCAGTGATAGCAAATGACTTCTTAGTTACAGAACTCAAATACAATTGTGGTTAAGAAGGAAATAAAGTTTTTAGCCACACTGCTTTAAAAGCATTAAGTTTTGATTTTTCCAGGTTATCTGGCTTTGCTGATCATTCATTAAATATAGGTCAAGTAGGTAGAGAGGGAAAAAAAAGTTATATCTTCCTTTGCCAGAATGCTATTTTGGAAAGTAATAAAGCTAGAGGCTTTTAGAGGCTATTAGCAATTCAATCATCATGAAGCCAATATCCAAGATATACTGATTGGTCAATAATAAGTGGCTAAAAAGTCTATATACTTAAAGGGGGGGGGCAGCTAGGTGGCACAGTGTATAGAGCACCGGCCCTGGAGTCAGGAGGGACCTGAGTTCAAATCCGGCCTCAGACACTTGTCAGTTACTAGCTGTGTGGGTCTAGGCAAGTCACTTAACTTCACTGCCTAGCCACAAAAAAAAAAGTCTACATACTAACAGACAGTTAGAATAATGAATTCTGTTAAGTCACATATACGTTTTTAACTTACAAACAATTCTAACTACAGTTTCTGCAGTCTATGAGAGGTTCCCTAATCTTCCTGCCTTCTCTTCTTCCTTGTCAAATGGAAAGGAAGCACCGTAGAAAAAGATCTGGACTGGGAGTCAGGAATCCTGGGTTCTAATCCTGGTTCTGCCAGTAATTTACTCTGTGATCATGGGCAATTCACTATCTCTCTCTCAATTTCCTCTTTATTAAAATGAAGAGGTTAGACTGCATGGACTATAAGATCTCATTTAGTTCTGACATTCTCCAATCTGGGCAGCAGCTACTTTCTCTCTTGGATCTGACATTGTTAGTCTTTTAGATGAAAACAGAAAAATCATGGTGACCTCTACAGAGGTCATGCGGAGGTTTGCTCTAATGAGGACAGCACATGCCTAGCTGACCACCTGTGATGTTCCAGTGGTGTGATAACTAAGAATACTCTAATAAATGGCATATAGAAAGGGTCCTGCCTGAAGCAAGGTATTGTTATATCCTTTCCCCACTTTTCATGGAGAAATAATCAAATCCCTCTATAAAAAGATGCTGAAGAGGCCTGTAGAAATTTTGGTCAAGAAACAAATGCCAAGAAACCAGTAGGTGTCAAAAGAGATCTTTTTAAATAGTCTTCCATTCACTGGATTTAATTCTTTTGAAGGGGCTTGAATCAACAGAAAATGAAAAAGAATGTCCCCTCTTATTTAGGGATGATAGTATTCTAAAGGTAGAAAGATGAAAAGAGTATCACGAGACAGATTGCAAGAACTATTCTTTCGGATTTGAGTCCTATCAGAAATCTGGTGTTTAACAAAACAAAATACACTGGAAAAACAAAACAAAACAAAACAAAACTCTATCTCTAGAATTAGAGAGAAATAATAGCATCATAGGACTTAAAAGTTGGAAAGGACCATAGAGATTTAGTCCGGGGATTTTTAACCAGGGAATTGTGAAATTTATTTTAAAAATTGACTTTATTTCGATAGAATTAATTTATAATCTTTTGTATTTTATTTTATGCATTTAAAAACCTACTCTCAGAAGGGGTCCATAGGTTTCACTAGACTGCCAAAGGGGTCCATGGCATAAAAACTCTAATTTAGTCCAACCTCTTCATTTTATAGATAAGAAAATGGAGATTGGGAGGGGTTAAGTAACTTGCCCAAGGTTATCCAGACAAGTAAGAAGCAGAGTTTTAAATCCAGGTCCTAAAAATAATTTTCCTTTCTAAGAAAGAAAAAAAAATTATCCATCAAGTAAAAATGTGGAGTAACACACCACATAACTTTATTAAACAACACTGTCATGCACTCTGGCCAATACAGATCACTCCCTTATACAAGGAATCTTTTGTTGTTATTGTTTAGTGGTTTTCAGCCATGTCCGACTCTTTGTGACCCTGTTTGAGGTTTTCTTGGCAACGATACTGGAGTGGTTTGCCATTTCCTTCTCCAGCTCATTTTACAGATGAAGAACTGAGGCAAACAGGGTTAAGTGACTTGCCCAGAGTCACACAGCTAGCAAGTGTCTGAGGCCACATTTGAACTCAGGTCTTCTTGATTCTGGGCCTGATGCTCTATCCACTGAGCCACTTAGCTGACCTATAAAGGGAGCAAATTGTTCTATCCACTCTATGGGGACCAAGTCTTTTACCTTGGGCTTGTGGATCTCACGGGAAGATACTAGTGTGTTAGTCTACTATATATTGGAACTCTACAGTTGAAAGGAACTTAAGAAATCATAAAGTTCAACCTCTTCCATTTTACAAATCTGGAAAATGAGGTCCAGATAGGTTAAGTAATTTGTCCAACGTTACAAAGATAAACAGCATAGCCAATATTCAAACTCAACTCTCTGACTCCCCCAAACTCAATGCTATTTCCACTGTACCATGTCTGTCCATCCTCCTACTCCCATCAGTCTGTATTTTACATAGGATAGCAATTCCACTTAAGTACCCAAGGCATCCTTCCCAATTGTAAAGATGTTTATACATCTGGATAGTGCCTACCTCAGGATGGATGCCAGCAGAATAGAATCTCCTTGGCAAAGACAATTTCATTTTTGCCTTAGTACCCCCCACACCTAACCTTGAGCCTACACATACTCTGATGGAATTGTGATAGCATTAAGAGTATAATAGCTATCAGAATGAAACCTATGTACACCTTCTCAACACATGGAATTGAAAATAATAATAATAAGAGATACGAAGGATGTTTGAGGTCATATAGTCTAAAGTCTAACCCTTCATTTTGAAGTTGAGGAAACTGAAGCCCAAAGAGGTTAGGTTGACTTGCCCAAGTCCACATAGGCTAAATGGAATAGATAGGGTTGGAATTAAGTCCTCTAACTGCAAACCCTGGGATCTTGCCAGTGTTCTTATTCATGTCTTCTTAAAAACCCTCCAGGAAGTCTACTCAGAGCACAAGGGATTATGAGGACATTATCTGGACCCTAATGTTGCATGTGAATTGTCTGTCTGTTATTCCTCACCCTCATGACATGATTAACCACCTGCTTTTCTAGTCAAAGATCTCTTTTATGACACATTTCATACTACTTTTGCACATAATTATTGTTAATGTTACAATCTATTTACATTTACCATGCACATGTCTTTTGCCCTTTAAGTGACCTATAATTTTAATTAACAGAGATTTTGGTATTCCATCATTTGAAGCCATAAAGCATTACAAGAAGAATACTTAGAAAGATCACCTTGTTTTTTTTTTAGGGAAAAGCTTGGGGTCACTGAAAATGCAGTGCAATTTCTTAAATGCAATCCAGCCCTCTCTATCCCTCCTATTCAAGATGCTAGAACATTATTCATATGTAGTTTCTATTCAAGATGTATATACTGATGAGCCAGATCTAAAGGTCGTCCAACTACATATTATAGTCTGGACAAGAGGCATTCTTCTTCTACCTGGTTCTTCTTGAGTGGATGATTAGTTGAACTCTTTTCAATGATTATGAATTTTATTTAGGAGGCTTTGCAACGGTCTAAGGCTTGATGCAATCAGCATAATGTCATCTATAAACAGGAGAACTTGGAGAATTTATAGAGAATCATTTTGCATTTTATGCTGGCCATCCTTTATGACAGTGGTGATCACCTTTGGTAAGCATACATGTCCTGTTTTATGCTTTACTTGGTATTTATTAATAATTAGAGGATAGTAAAAATTATCTTTGTTGTAGCAATCAAGGAATTTTTTTGTTCTTAATTATGTGGGGGAGGTACAATATTAACTGCTGAATTAAATATGCTTCTAGAAAAATAAAGGTCATAGAACAAAGTAGAAGAATTGATGAAAAGCATAACTTCACATATAAGAAACAGAAAACCCAGTGGATAATTCATAGCAAAAGAAATGTCTGTTGTGTCGAAAACAAAGAACTTGTGGATAAGCTCTCAATCAGAAAGCACACATATATTCTACAATAGCAAAGTAAGAAAACTCAAGTAGGCATTTTATAGAATCACTGAATTTCAGAGTTAGAAGAGACTCTTAGAACATATACACGGAAAAGAATTCCTCTACAACGCTATCCAGCCTTTTCCCAAAGAACTATACTGAGGGGGACCCCACTGTCTCCCAAGGCAGCCCATCCCACTTCTGGATAGAATTCATTATTGGGAGGTTTTTCTTCACATCGTGCCTAAATTTCCTCTGCCTTTTCCACACATTACTCCTAGTTACGCTTTCTGGAACTGAAAAGAACAAGGCTAACATATCTTCCAAATGATAGCCATTGTATTCCCATTATATTTCTTTGAGACTTCATTCTTCATGTTAAACATACTTAGTTTCTTCAACTGATTGTTCCTTACACAGTATGAACTCAGTCTCTTTCACCAGCTTGGACACTCTTCTGAACATTCTTCAGCTTATCAATTTTACTCCCTTAAATCCAGTGCCCAGAACTGAACACAATACCAGATGTGGTAGCTTCTTAGAAGCTATGCCTCTCTAAATACAGACTAAGATCTCATTGCCTTTCTTAGCTGCCATAAAAATATGCAATAAATTTAATCCAGTAGTTCCAAAACTGTTCTGTTCATCTTTTTTTTTCTAGAACTTCCTTCTTCTCTCTAGAACCTCTTTACTACTGCTCCTTTTATTTAAAAGAAAAGAAAAAGCCCTTTTTTGTGGCTATGTCTATATGTCCCATCACTTCTCTGTCAAGAAGTGGGAAACAAGATTCATCACTGGTCTTCTGCGGTCATGTTGCTCTCTGCATTGATCATAGTTTTTAAATCTTCCAGAGTTGCAGTCCTTTATAAAGTGTTGTGGTACTGTATAAATTGTTTCCTGGTGGTGTTTATTTCATTCTGCACAGGTTTATACAGATTTCTCTAAATCCATCTCTTTCATAATTTCTTATGGTACAATAATATTTGATTACATTCAAAGATCATAATTTGTTTGGCCATTCATTCCCCAGTTAATATGTGCCCCCTTAGTTTCCAGTTTTTTTCCTATAAAAAAAAGTGCTGCTGTAAATATCCGTGCATATACGGTTCCTCCTTTCTTTGATCTTTTGAGAGTATATGCCTCGTAGTGAAACCACTGTGACAAAGGTCATGCACAATTTGGTGACTTATATTGCAGATACAAGTTGCATTCCAGAATGAGTGGATCAATTCACTGCTCCAATGCATTATTGTGCCAGTCTTCCCACATGGCCTCCAAAAACTGTGTCAGCTTTGTCCACCTGTGTATAAAACTTCAGACTTGTTTTAATTTATACTTCTCTTACAATTAATGATTTGGAGCATTTTTTTCACATAGTAGTTGTTGGCTTGTCTTTCTTCTTTTGAGAACTATTTATAGGATTTGATCATTTATCTATTGAAAAATGGCGGCCGGGGGGGGGCAATTAACCATTTATATAGTGTCCACTACGTTCCAGGGACTATGCTAAGTACTTTACAAATATTATTTGATTCTCATAACAAGACTGGAAGTTATGTGCTTCTATCCTCACTTTGCAGTTGAGGAAACTGTGGCAAACAGATATGAAATGACTTGCACAAGGTCACACAGGCACTCAGTATCTGAGGCCATACTGGAATTCAGGTCTTCCTGACTCTAGGTCCAGCACTCTAGTCACTGTATTACCTAACTGCCTCTTTCTTATTCTTATATTCATAATATATTTGAATGATAATATAACTGAATATATACAATCCCTGTATATCTTGGATATCACACCTTTAACAGAGAACTATGCTACAAAGATTTTCCTCAGTTAATTGTTTCCCTTCTAATTCTAACTGCAAAAATCCCCGCCCCTCAACTATTGCTGGGAAAACTCCTTTCCTGATCCTGTAATTTGCTATATCAGTAAGCTTAAGAGTATCTTTTTAGAAGTGGCAGCTGATGTCTTTAATGGAGAAATGATAAAAGAAGCCTTTCTAGTGAGATCAGAAGTAAAGCAAGATGGTCCATTGTCACGACTGTTATTTATATTTATATTTGTAGAAGTGCTAGCAATGGTAATAAGACAAGAAAAAGGAATGATATGATCGGAATTGTGGAAAATGATATGATGAAAATAGGCAAAATGAAAACAAAATTATAGCTTTTGGTAAATTATATGATGGCTTACTCAGAGAGCCCTAGAGATTCAACTAAAAATTAACTGAAATAATAACTTTACAAAATAGTGGAATATAAAATAAGCCCACAAAAGCACTGGCCTTTCTGTATATAATTAACAAAACCCAGCAGAAAAAGAAATTCCATTCAAAATAATTATAGGACATATAAAATAATTGGGAGTCCACCTACCAAGACATACATACAAATTATTCTGGTACAAATACAAAATAGTCTTTACAGAAATAAAGATATATTTAAATAACTGTAGAGATCAACTGTTTAATGAGGCTACGACAAAGTAATAAAAATGGCAATAGTACAGAAAATAATTTACGTAACAATCAGACCACCAAAGAGTTACTTTATAGAACTATGCAAAATAACACAATTCAGCTGGAGGAACAAAAGGTTAAGAATCTCAAGGGAAATAATGGAAAAAAAGGGCAAGGAAAGGGGCATAGTAGTGCCAGATCTCAAACTGCTACAAAGCAGTCATTAATCAAAACAATTTGGTACTTATTAGAAAGGTGTAACTATGTCCCTTTCCTGCTTAATCATCTCGAATGGTTCTTTACTGCCTCTGGGATGAAATATAAGCTCTTCAGCCTAGAATTAAAGTCTTCCATAAGTTGGTCCCAGCCAATGTTTTATGACTGAATCCAGATTACACTCCTTTAATACTCTAACCAAATCTGGTCTACTTATTATTTGCCAAACTCAACATCTGATTTCTACCTTTGTGACTTTGTACACTGTCCCTCAAGCCTAGAATGTATTCACTTCCTCTCCACTAGTTCTAGGGATTCATAATTTTGTTCAAAGCTCTACTCAGGTGTTATCTCCTATGGTAATAAAAGTCTTTCATCATTCTCTTTGTTAAGGCTTGCTGATTCCTCAAAACTACCTTGTATGTATTTATCTGTGTATATATTTTAACTCTCCAATAAAATATAAGCTCTTTGAGAGTATGGCCTATTTTTTCATTTTTAATTTGTGTCCCTGGCAACTAACACAGTGTGTCTTATACACGGTAGGGGCTTAATAAATGATTGTCAAATTGTATCACTGTCAAACTGAAAGGCCTATGGAATTTTAGTTATTTATATTAAAATATCAGTCAGCGATATGAATTAGTTCACTTAACTGACTATTATCTAGGACAAAAACTCACTCTTTTTTTCCTTCATTTTATCATCCTTAAACGGCTACTCCTTCTTCCAATTCAACTCTGCAATTCTTTCTCTCCTTATTGTCAACTTTGTTATTAACTGGACAGAAAAACAAAGCTTCCTCATCTACTGGCCCAGATTTAAAAAGACACCTGCATTTGTGAGTGCCAAGATCAGATAACAGAGGACCTGAGATTCTATTCTGCAATTATGGAGCAGAACTTAATCTCCAGGTTAGCCTATAAGCCTGGAGTTGCTATTTTTCTAGGAACTGGAAGGCTTAGGGAGACAAGTTTTACTTCTTGCAGAACTGCTGGTTTTGTCAGATGCTTCACAGGCTCTGGAAATTGTCGCTGTCTCACAGGCCAGTATACTCTCAACATTATAATTCTGCTGCTGATAGAAAAATGAAGATCTCTCTGGCTACAGCTCTGTGACTTTCCTTGCTGTGCTTCTTGATTAACCGAATGGAGACCAGAGCTGACTGTAACAGGATATAAAACAAAGTCTACTTTCCGCTATTTCTATTTGGTCCGAAAACTATAATTTTTATGGGCTTTCATTTCTCATGATTCCTGTTTGCCCCCAGCTTTACCATCCCACATACCCTGAAAAAAGCTGCTGGGAAATTATAAACTCCATGTGCCTCAATGTTTTTTGTTTTTGCTGTTCAGTCATTTCAGTCATGTCTTACTTTCTGTGATCCCTGTTTGGAGTTTTCCTGGCAAAAATGATGGAGTGGTTTAACATTTCCTTCTCCTGCTCATTTTACAGATGAGGAACTGAAGCAAAAGGTTAAGTGACTTGCCCAGTGTTACACAGCTACTAAGTGACTAAGGCCACATTTAAACTCAGGTCTTCCTGACTCCAGGCCCTGCACTCTATCCGTCACACCAGCTAGCTGCCCTATCATACTAACGTTGAAATAGAAGGAGTATACCTTTACAGCTGGTGCTAGTAAAAGCTAGAATTTTGGCCCTTTGTAAGTATGGCTTGGCATCCCAAGCAGCCTTATTCCTTTAATGGAAAGGGTGGCAACAAGTGACTACAGAATTGAGTGAGGAAAATGATACGTATTTGGTTAGAAACAATGCAACAAAAGGGAAGGGTAGAAAGTCTGGAGGAAGCAAGAGTACAGAAGACGCCAAGATGTTGAGAAAAATAAGGGAGTAGAGGAGGCAGAAGGTAAAAAAAAAAAGTGATAACTGAAAGGAAAAAAAGGGGGGGAGGGATAGGAAGAATCTGATTTTCCATGCACAACAAACATACATAACCCATCAATGTTGGGAAAAAATATGAGCGCTCCATCCAGAGGAAAAAAAAAGACAACATTGAAAAACCTATCATATGATAGGATACAATCATATGATAAGAACAATTCTTAAAAACAACAATTCTTACTTGTTAATCCAAGGTCACTGGTTTCTTGATCTTCTAGTTCTTTATCTAGGGATGCAACATTTATATCACTAAAATGTAGATCTAAAGCAGAACCTGTTAAACAAAATATCACATTACCTACAACACATCTAAGCCATTTATTAAAAGGCTGTGTTTACTCTATTCTTCAAAGGATTTATAGGAAGATTACTCTGTAGCAATCAAATGTCACACAAAAATAAACTCCTTGTGTCCCAGATAGAAGTTTGTTTTTAAGGTTTTTAAGATGGTGAAAAGCCATTAGTCTAAAAATTATGGAATTAGAGAATATGGGGAAAACTCGAAGAAAAAAACAAAACTCTGTTACTTGATAATTGATTTAAAACCATCTCTCTCAAACTGATCTTGAGAAAATCTTACCAAAACCCAGCTTATCTAATATATCTGAACAACTGAACTTAGGCAATGTAAAAACGGGCCCATAATTTTTCTTTAATCAGCTTTCAGTTCCATTAGAAATTCAGCATTTTCCTCTCCCCAACCAAGAAAGACAGTGAAGCCAAGCACTTATCGTGACAGATCTGTCAATATATTCATCTCACTGAGGATATGATCCACCTAACATTTCACATTTCTCATCATTTGCTGAAATGCTGACCATTTAATGTGTTCCAAAATTGAATGTTATTTCTAGTACGTGATTTCAATCTAATACATTTTCCATCACATCTGCATAAAACATAAGTAGTAGCGTTACTCATGCAAAAAAAAAGTTAAAACATTGCTACCTTGTTAACCATTAACTTAAAAATTCCTGAAAGTGCCTAAAAATGAAATCAAACATTGTTTCATATTAAAAAGAAATACAGCTATCTTGTTACTAACTCTTCCTGCAAAATGTCTTCTTTGGAATTCTTACCTTCCTTTTCCATTCTCAGGGTTACCAATGTCTTCTGGGCTCCCATCAACAAAGTTTGCATTATAGTAAGCATAGTTAGCTCCTGCAGCTTCTCTCCACTTAAATTCATTCTGCACAGACTAAGATTATTCTTTCTAAAATCTGTTACCACATTATTGTCCTCCAACCGAAAATAGTCCCCCCATTGCCTACCACATCAATTTCAGTCTCTCTACCTGGTGTTATTTCCTTATGCTCTTCACCATGAACCTTCCCCTCTAATCAGAATGGTCTCTATACTGTTCACCACAAAAATCGTGCTCATTCCTACTTTTGTGCTTTTGTTCATCCTTTTATCCTTAACCCAGAATCCCTTCTTTTCCACCAATCCAAATCTTATGCTTACTTCATGGTCTCCCATTCTCCAAGATTCATTCCCCCTCCTTCCATGAAGTAGTCTTTTCTGACTACTCTAAGATCACTGTGACCTTTGCTTATCTATGAATTCTTAGAGCAATGGCAGTTTATACTACACAATGTAACATAATCACACATAGCCTTAAACTACTCTTTAGGTTTCTCATTCAGTTCTGTTGGGTTTTCCCAATAAAACCATAAGGTTCCTGCAATTAGGAACCAAGAATTCTCTTATATCACTTGGAGTACTGATATCTATCCCAGGGCTAGCCAGCCAGGAAGCCTGTAATTAGCAGCAGCCTCGAGTTGGAGCATTCTCCATTTAAAACAAACTTGCTTTTATACTGTCAGATTCAGCTGATATGGTGGCTTAGTTTTTCTGAACTTTTAAAAAAAATTCCTTGTTATAGCTTGTTCAATGTGTAATGGCTATGTTAACAGCCTATGTAATGACTTGCTGGATAAGGGATAGGTGAGAGAGAGATTCTGAAACAAAAGACAATGTTTTTTTAAAAATCAATTTTTTAAAAACTTGTTTTACAAAATTTTCTACTTAAAAATTGACCAAGCTAGAACCAATATTGTTTGGTGTAGCCAAGGACATAAAATAATTCAGACCGCAGATACTGGCACAAAGTGGAACACTGTAGCCTGGTCTTTTAGATGTTGTAAATTCCCCAAAAGAGAAAAGTAAAATCCTAGAATCCGTGGGTATAGAATTAAAGGGTTAGTCCAGTATATGAGGAGAGAAAGGGAGCAGGGAAATACTCAAAGTGCTACAAAAGCACACATTACGCCAACTTTTAGCATTGCTTTGGCTGGTTACCCTCTCCTGACCAAAAATGTCCAACCCAGTCTACTAGAAGATGTTTTATTTTCTGTGGAAAACATCTCTGATTTTATTTCACCATATACGTGAATGAGACTTTACAGAACAGAATTACAGATTTCCTACTTTTATTTACCTTAGAACACCCACCCTGTAAAGTGACAATGACATCTATTTTTCCTGGGCTAGGAAATAAAAACAGAGGAAGATAACAATATTCCTAACCTAAGGAATGGATTGTTCCCTCTAGAGCAGGGGTTTTTAACCTTCTTTTGCATGATGGGCCTTCTCTGGCACTGTGAACCTTATGTAGCTCTTTACAAAATAATGCTTTAAAATCTATAAAATAAAATGCATAAGATTATAAAGGAAACCAACTATAATGAAATACAGTTTGCAAAATGTTTAAAAGACAAGTACATGGATTCCAGTTTAAGAACTCCTGGTCTAGAGATAATATCTGGAAATAAAGTACTTTCAAATTATCTATTAAAATCACATGGCTAGAACAGACCCTGAGAAAGCATAGAGCATTTTTTCTATAAGATGGTATTCAAACCAAACCAGAACAAGTGATGTCCCCTTTCCTCCTCCTTTTCTAATCATCTCCAGAGAAGATGCCTCCACAATTGTCATTATTTATAGCACATCGCATCCCTGAGTCAACTCACTCTTGATAATTTCTAATCTCCTGCTCCAACTTTTCCTCAAAGACAGAGGCTAATTATTTTACTAGACCTTTTTTTTTTTGACAATTAGTTTGGAATGGCTTATGAGAATGTTTATTAGTTTGACAGAAATCCAGAAGATTAAAACAGAGACATATCTTTTCTGCAAATATAGTGTGGATTTACCATGATACATATACTGTTATCCACTTTTTTCAACCCTTTAAGATCTTGTATGTTGGAGAAAATTACTAAAACAAAATGAGAATAAAGAATGGGGAGAACAAGGTCAAAACAAGGAAAAGGGGGGGAGGGGCACGCCTCCATGTTAAGACTGACTTCAAATAGCATATCCAGAAGTCTCTCGGTAGGAAATTATCTCACTCTATTCTATAATCAAGTCTAAGTAAGGTTTTCTTATAGGAAGGACATGACACAGCTTCTGCGAAAGTATTCAATTACAGAGCAAGGCTTTCCATCCAGGTTTTAACATTAAGGACTAATTTTATTTTTTCTTTAGTGTCCACAAATTGTTTTTTTCTAGTCAATTATTTTTTAAAAATGATAAGCATTGAACACTTATAATGTATCTAGCATTACTAAAGAAAAATATAAAAGAAGTATGTGAGACAATGCTTCCTGAGATAATGTATATAAGAGGCTATCTGGTATTGTGGAGAGAATATAAAATGTAGAATTCAGAGGACCTGAGCTATAGAATCCTGTCTTTGAAATTTATCAGCTATGTGACTACTGGCCAATCTCAGCCTCAAAGTCCTCATCTGCAAATTGAGAATAACAGGGAGGCACCTAGGTGGCGCAGTGGAGAGAGCACTGGCCCTAGAGTCAGGAGGACCTGAGTTCAAATTCAGCCTGAGACACTTACTTAGCTAGCTGTGTGACCCTGGGCAAGTCCCCTAACCCCCATTACTTCCAAAATTTAAAAAAAAGAAATGAGGATAACAGCTATAGCACTTACTTCACAGGACTGTGGTGAGACTCAAATGAAAAAATACATAAAGTATCTTGCAATCTTCAAGGCCTATATGTTAGTTATTAATATTATTATAAATTAATTTTAAATCTTAAAATACTATATGAAAATTATATAAAATAACACAACAAAAGACAGAATTTATATTGCCTTATTTTATACTAAGAATTTATTTAGGGGCAGCTAGGTGGCGCAGCGGATAGAGCACTGGCCTTGGAGTCAGGAAGATGAGTTCAAATCCAACCCTAGACACATAACACTTTCTAGCTGTGTGACTCTGGGCATGTCACTTAACCCCACTGCCTAGCAAAAAACCAAAACAAACAAACAAAAGAATATATTTATATTAAGAATAGGAGAGATGAGATTTTTCACATAGAAGGCAAGTCTTAAACTGAATTTCAAAGACTGGATAGGATTCAGATTAGCAGACCATAATGGTATGATTTTTAAATACAACTTCCACTTATCAAAACTGGAACAAAAATATTTAGTGGGTTTGTTTTATCAATGTGAACATGTATTCAAAAGCTATACACAGTTTTGTGACTTTTGGGTATAGCTGCAAGTACTGTCTAGAATGGCTGGTCCAATTCAGACACTCACCAAAAGTATATTAGTAGTTTAATTCCCTTTTCACATATAACCTCAATCAAGTCATTTATGCCATTCCTCATATGTAAGTTATAATTGATAATACATTAAAACTAACTTTTGCCTACCATGTACCTTTCAGGTTACTTACAATTTTGATGTTCAATCATCTGCTATCATATACCAGTTTTGTGAAAAGGGAGCTTCCTGGAATCATAAGCAAGCACTCTGAAACTTATTAAATGCCTTCTATTCTGATCTCATCTAACTCATTTCTGGACTTGTCATCGATATGCATTTTTCATCCACTTCCTTTTTAAAAATTTACTGCTATGAATTTTACTGAAGAAACTTCGTAGTGTTTTGGGGCACCATATAGTCTGTGAACAGAAGCCTGTGGATAACCTCAACACTAATAGGTGACCCTCCCTTTGACTTGACTTTACTCAGGACATCTTCCATGTCACTGGAGAACAATTTAAGTTTCTCTTCTTTTTATACCTAATTTGATGTCAAAGTTATATATAGTCACATTTTTCACTGTCTACATAATTTTGATATGTCTTCCTCTCAAACATTTTGACAATCAGTCCTTCAATGTCTTTAAAATGGTATTGTCTTCATCACATATTTCTTCCACATATATTTTGTCAGGCCTTCATCTTG